GGTGAAAATTTTATTGGTGCTGCCTTATAGTTTCAGAGGTTCAGTCCATTATTATCATGACGAGAGCTATAGTGGCCTGCAGGCAGACGTGTCTGGAAAGGAAGCCGAAAAGTTTTACATCTTGATCCACAGGCAACAGGAAGTGAACTGTGTACCACACTGGGTATAGCATGAGCACATAAGGCCTCAAAGTCCACCTCCACAGTGACACACTTCCTTCAACAAGGCCACACCTCCTATAATGCCACTCCTTATGGACCAAGTAATAGAACACCCGAGTCTGTGAGGGCCATACCTATTCAAACCACCATATTTCCTTCACAATGTGGTGAGATTACTTTGGAACTCTGGATGATTATATGAAGCATAGCAAGAAAACCAAATGATTTCACTTTTATTAAGAAGCAATAACCAAAATGAGATGTGGAAGTGGACATCATTGTTGGTGGAATCATGGACTGAATAAGCCATTTTTTTTTAACAATGCAACCCCTATAGGGTAGGAAAATTCCAAAATATACTAGATGGACATATTTGTGGAAGCCCCTCTTAAATTTAGAAGTTTATCCCCTGGGTCTACATAGGTAATTCAGGTTATTATAGACTGCCTTCTGGGAATGGTCCTAGTAGACAAAGTCGGGGGCTGGTGATCACTGGAGAGGCAGGAAAGAGAGGAGGGCTTCCTGAGGATGCTCCAGCTTTTCAGAGTAACATCTCACAAGACAAGCTTGGCCTGGGCTTGGCCTCCCCAAGTCAAGGTGCTGCTGAGACAGATGATAACACCCAGATATCTAAATGCACGCGTGTTTGTTTCTCCCTGAGCACACACATATTCCGGGGTCCCTTGTTTGCTGCAGGGATGCCCCATCTCTCTTAAAATAGGCTTCAGTTGTGAAGGAAAAACTAGTGTTTCCTGAGCAGGCACAGACGCTCTCACCCTTCCATCTCACACAGGTTCCCAGGAACACAGCAGAAGTTCTTAGGACCATAAACGTCACAAAATCCGAAGGTCCCCGCGGACCTGTTGCAGACAGCTGAGGAAATGAGAGACGCTGTGAAGGGGCACCGATCCCTCTGTAAATGATACAAAGACAGACAGCCAGACTGAGGAGGGCCACCGTGTAACAGTACACCCTATTCCTGGTGGGAATTCCTAAAGGCTTTGAGAAAAGTTAAGGCAGGGGCCTCATGGCCTGGAAAGATGACTCAGTTCTTGAGCGCAGTGCCTGCTGTTCTTGCAGAGGACCCGAGTTCAGTTCCCAGTACCCATGTGGCAGTTCACAATCTAACGTAACTCCAGTACCAGGAGATCTAATGCCATGTTCTAACCTCCTCAAGCACCGAACATACACACGGTACACACACATCCATGCAGGCCAAACACTCATACCCACAAAATTGGGATGAATACGTCTAAGAAAACATTTAAATAACAAAAGAGCCTCTCTTTGCCTTTGTTTTAACCCAGTATTTCCTGTACATTATTAATCTAGAAATCATGCTTTGTATAAATCTAGTATAGGTCGTTTAGGCAGATCTGATGTTAAACATAGGGCATTCCTACAAACTCACAAGGACCCGCTTGAATTTCTGCATTCTGCAGTGTGGTGATTTCAGGCCGACTGAAGAAGAGAGCTGTCTACCGTCTGAGTCACACCCTCATCTTTAAAGTCAAAAGAGGCCATTTGATTTGATCACTCTGGGTAACGAGGATAACAAATTGGTTTACACCGATCAAGATCTCTTGAAATGCATTTATAAACGGTGACAACATGCTGATTAATGAGAACATGGGGTCTGGAGCCGAATAGACCCTGTTCAGATGACAGCTCTGACTTACATAAGCTATAACTCGTGTGGGTCAAATTTGGATGCTAATACCAAATCTCCTGAGAGATGGTGATGTGGCTCAAGAGGAAAAGGTGCTTGCCACCAAGCCTGAAGACTTGAGTTCAATCCCGGGGGTTCACATGGTGGAAGGAGAGAATTGAGTCCTACAAGTTACTTTCTGACCTCCACATGTATGGTATGGCACACTCAAACCCACATATACATACACAATAAATAAATAAATAAATAAATAAATAAATAAATAAATATCAAATTTAAATGCCGAATCTCCTAAATTAATCCAGGGAAAGCACTCAGTATAGAAAGCTTTTGAGCAGAGAATGACAATTTGAAGTCACTTTGTCCCCTGGTGCCCGTGTCTGGGCTGTGATAGTCTCTGTAGTCAGCTGCCGAGCAAGCATTACTGAAGATGTGTGGCGGAGAACACTGACAGAAACTGAGCTGGATAATTTGGAGCTTGGTTTTGTTTCTTGAGCAAGAGACCTGTAGTTCAGGGTGGCCTTGAACTGCAGATCATCCTGCTTCCATTCCCCCAAATCTAGGGTTTTTCCAGCTGAGGCAGATAATTTTATTTACCAGAAACTTTCTTTAAGAATGTTTTTGCAAGAGAATATCTCTAGATCCCAGTGGGCACACAGGGAAGTGGGAAAGATTAGGCGCTGTGAGTTTCAGGTCACCAGAGCATCACCAGGTTGTACAGAGCGGGGCTGGACTGAGGAACTAATGAGGATGGGGCAGTGTGGCTTGTGGAGCAGAAGGCAAATGGCGGAGGGCCCAGCAAGGATGAGAGAAGAGGGAATATAACGTCTGTTCAGAGTGTGGAAGGTGGTGGACAGAAACTTATGTCCCAAGGACATTTGTGTGATGTTAGCCTGTTGTGAAAATACAAAATCCCCCAGTGATCCTGCTTTCAGAAAACCTATGCTGAAACCTAAACATGTTTTCCTTTTCAAAACTAAATAATTTCAAGATTGCAGTCTTGATTTGTGTTTCCTTTGTGTGTGATGTCACGAGACCATAGACTTAGCATGGCTGCTCTGACCATATTCCTTTTTTTTTTAACTATTTTATTCTAATCTCTATTATTGCCACTTATCACTAGATTCATCATTGTAACAATGATCCATACCTCAAGATATATTGTAGTTTCAAATATATCATCTTACTGTTATTTATATATTTTTGTTTCATTATCTCTACTATTTACATAAGTTGTTACTTTATAAGATTTATTGTTATTTCATTTTCTCTATAGAGTACTTTATTTTGAAATCATGTTTTCCAATTAGGTGCTTCTTGGAAAAATCCCTGTATATGACTAACTCCACTGTACATTAAATATCTGTGCCCAAAAACTGTCCCTGGCTTCTGGCTTTTTTGTGACTCAATTTTCAGGAAATCTGGTCATTTCCTGAACTATTCAAAGAATTGAACTGTGGGCCCACAGTGACTAGATTCTGGAGTCCATGTTAGACTTTGTAAAATATGAGCTTAGATGAGCCTAGTGGTGGTCCCCATTTTTGCTACTGTAGGTTTTCCATAGTTTTTTTGAGAAGCCAGATGCTGTCCACCGTGCGCAGTGATTCAGAGGTAGAGCCATTTGTAGTGATACACACAAAGATCTCCACAAGAGAGATTTGAAGAGATTAGAAGAACGCCGAAGTCTGAATGTCACAGGATTCTTTCTCTGACTTATAACTGTCCCGAGTCCCAGCTTGACTATGGGTGGGAGTCCAGCGTTGTAATACATCTAAGGGATCCAGGATGGATGCACATGATCGCTCCTGCAGCAGCATGAGACTATAAAGAAGGATAGGAGGGGCTACCAGAAGGGAAGACATACACAGGATGGAGATGATGGGCAGTTTGGATGCCACAGCAGTGTTTTGTGAAGAGGCTCCTAGGATGCTAGTCATTCAGAATGATGCAATAGATAGTGGATAAAATGTGGGCCATACTGGGCAAAGATAGTGCAAATGGGCCCTTCAGAGCCTGTAGCAACGTACCAGCGTGTCTGAAGTATCTCCGGGATGACAGCAGGGGACATGAATGTTTGAACTTTTCCCAAACTTATGTAACCACAAAACAGGATGTTCTCCAAAGGCTAGGGATATAGCTCAGTTGGTAAGGTGCTTGCTGAGCTTACACAAGGTCTGGGCTTGAACTCCAGTACTACATACACCTGTAATTACAGCACTTAAGAGGCATAGGCAGGAAGATGAGAAGTTCGGGATCATCCTCCGTAAAATGGCGAATGGTTCAGTAAATGAATGGCTCAGTGAATGAATGAATTTGGGCAGGTAGCTAAGAATTAGAGTAGGAGGGCATCAAAGTATAGAGAAAACGTGTGTGTTAGTGCTAATTAAGTGAATTGTTTTGAACCTAAACACCCCTGCCTTGGGGACTTCTCCTTATTGCACCCGTCACCCCTGTCCTGCATTCTTCTGACACTTTCTTGTTTCCAGCTGTAATACGAAATTAGATTATTTATTTGAATGTGTCCCCTTATAAGCCATTTCTTTCTTACCTTTATAGGTGGTTCTGTTCTTGCAAACTCCCAAATGAACATCTGTGATACAGTTTTTGAAGGTGTGGGATGGTAGAAGATACCATGATGCTTGGGAACTGTGTGTATAGAGTCTAAGGACCTAGTCTACATGTTTATAACAAATATGGACATACACATGTATACATGATGCTTGGGAACTTGTGTGCGTACATGATGCTTGAGAACTGCATGTATAGCGGGTCTCAGGACCTAGACTACGTGTTTATAACAAATACGCACATACAGCCTTCTTCTGTCTTCAAATTCACCTACTGTGCCCACACTCAACCTTATTTCTCTTAGCTTTGATGACTAACCAAGGAAGATAAAGAAGCAGATGATGGTGTATAATGTTTCTTAGTGAGCTAGTTGGATAGGGATGTCTTAAATTGATGCTGCTACTAAAGGAAGATAAACCCCTACCGCCACCTCCTGAGTATTCCAGAAACAAATGTGAGAAAAGTCTCTATAGCCAGCATGACAGTATAGAGTAACTCACTAACCAGAGGATTTGACTGAGAAACCTACAAGGTTTTAACTGGCTTTTTGATAGGGATCCTAGCCTTAGTATAACCATAAGTTTTGTTGATTTTCTCCCCAGAACGCCAACCGGGCATCTCTATGGCCAATTCCAATACTGTTCCTTCAAGTTCAGCTGGGATCAGCAAGGAGCTGATTGATCTCCAGCCCCTCATTCAGTTTCCGGAGGAAGTGGCCAGCATCCTGACAGAACAGGAGCAGAACATTTACCGAAGGGTCCTGCCCATAGACTACCTTTGTTTCTTAACCCGGGACTTGAGTTCCCCTGAATGCCAGAGCGCCCTGCCCCATCTCAAAGCATCCATCTCAGCGTCCATCCTCAGCTCTCAGAATGGCGAGCACAATGCCGTGGAAGACCTCGTCATGAGATTTAATGAGGTAAGGAACCACTCAGGCGTCTCCATGGTTGAGCCACCATCTGTGATTCTCAAGCATATTTCTCGTCTGGGGTCTGGGGTCTGTCTGTGATAACTCTTCTATCTATCTGTCTTGCTGTTTCCACGATGGCCAGTTTTCTTTCCAGGCCCTAAGATAGCCACCACACTCTTCTTCCTTCTCCCTGCAGCCTAGCTGCCTGCAAATCTGATGGAGTCTACAAACGTTTCAGCCCCTAGACTCCCCGCCACCCACTCCCAGCAGTGTTTCTAGGACCTGTGTCTCAATTGTGAGCTTTGACAGCATGAACCCTGGCCACATCTGTCACTTCTCCTCAGAAACATGGAAGACTAGTGCCTGGGGTTCCTCGTATAAGGAAACATGGACGTCGTTACTGAGGGGAGGAAATCGCTCCACTCCTCTCTCTGCAGCCTTTCAAAGTCCTCCCCACCAGAAAGTCACCTGAAAGCCTCAGAGACCACACCAGAAGCCAGTTCTAAAGAGTGCAAGAGTGACTGGAGTTTGGGAACACTGAAGGTGGAGCTTCTGTGTGGCATCCAGAGATGGAGCAGGGGTGGGGCCCAATGGCTGGCATCTCTATGGCTTAAGTCAAAGAGAAACTGACAGGAAGGGGAGGCAGGTATTTGTCTTAAAGGAGCCTTCTCTCTCCATAAAGTGCCCCACACCCATAGAGTTCTTTTTGGTGTTGTTGTTCTGTTTATACTTTTATTTATTTTTGCCTCAATTGTTAAGTTACAAAATTTTAATATGGCTAGTGTAGGTTCTTGGTTGGTTGAATTCCACAGATAGCACAGTTTATGATTTGGGTCAGCATTGAGCACCATCTAATGCTAAGAGGATTCTCATTGTGAGTCATGTGTATCTCTGGTTGACCGAGGGTCAGTCAGCCTTTGCTACGTGTGCCCTTCCTACCTCCAGGTCTCAGTCTGCAGCCTCCGTATCTGGCCAGAAAAGACTCTGTCAATGGTGGTAAACACTACTGACCAGGATGAAGCCCAGTAAATTAAGGAAGTGTTAGAGGCTGAGCCCAACGGGCTCCATGTCCAGGCATGTCCCCAAAGTCCATTCCTCAGAGAGAAGCCTGTGTCCGCGATGGCAGATTCACGATGACCATTTTACATGCATCACTTAGGAGCTCTTCACAGCGACCATGGGGAACCGCTTTTCCATCCTACCAACAGGGAAACCAGGGTAAGGATAGTCACCAGCTCAGATTACACAATGGGTGGGTGACTGTTGTGAGACACAAACCCATATATTCCCGGCTGTCGCCACTACAGTGTCCTACCTGTCACCTGCATCGAGGGTGATATTTGCTATAGCTGTGGCTGTCCATCCGCTCCAAACTAAAATGGAATCACTGGGAGTTCACAGGAGACCTTGGAAACCACACCAGGCCAGGGTTGGTTTTTTTTTTTTAAATAACTCTTCTGGTGTTCTTGATTTTTCTTACTGATAAAAACGGACGGGAAAATGAAAGTTCCCGTAAACGGAGTGATTTTACTGTTTCGTGACTTATTTTAAATTCCCAGCTCTATTTACTCTCGCGTCTTTAAGACCCTATTCTTGTCCTTTTTTAAAAAAAAAAATTAAGACCTTAACTTACAAGTGAATTGCCAGAAGTTTTAAAATCTAATTTTAAATCACAGTTGGATTTTTTCCATCCGTGCCACAGCCTTGGGAGGGAGCAGAGCTAGGCATGGGGCACCCACATTTGGGGTGAGGTATGCTTCGGACCATCTCTGAAAATAGTTTAGCAGCAACTTCAGAACGTAAACAAGGTTTCTGGGAAAACACTCAAACTGCTTATGAGAATAGAGTGTTTTCAAGTATCCTCAAGCATCTATTTTCATACAAATCAGAGGCAAACTAATTAAAGCATCAGTCTGGGCCGCAATCAAAGGCAGATTCAAAGGGATTTCCACCAACCGGCCTGGGCGGAGCTAATTCTGTTCACCATGCACTAAAATGTGGAAAGACTGTGTAACATTCAAAGGGAAGAATACAAGAGCACCTTTCGAATACTTACAACGGACTGCCTCCAAATTGGTGTGGCTTTCCACAGTGGACTGAAAGACACAGGGCTAGGGGAAACAGGTGGAGCCTGGAGGTCCCTGGCCAGTGCAGCCCAGCTGAACCGATGAGTTCCAAAATCAATGAGATACCCCGACTCAAAAAATAAGGTGGAGAGAAATTGAACTGGACCCCAACCTCTAGCCTCTACATGTGCATGTGTGTGTGTGTGTGCGCGCACACACACACACACACACACACACACACACACACACACGTTGACAAACATCTGCATTCACATGTACATATACATATGGCTATCTAGGTTCATAAACCACAAAACAAATAACGATGGTATTGAGGCAATTAAAGTCTGCATGAAAACACAACAGCCATTAACTTTGTGTGTAGAACCACTGATGCATTTTCAAAGTTATTAAGCACAAAGAAATGGGATGAAAAGTCGGGATATTTACAGGATCCCTAAGCAACTTTTCACAAGATCCTTGCTAATCAATCACGTGGAAGAATAGAAACCCAGCCACAGATACTATCTGAAGCTTCTTTGACCAGTAAAGACATATATCCAATTGTGCCCTTACTTATCCTGCTTTAAAGAGGTGTGATGTCACCTCTGTGTGTTCTTGCCACAGAGGCAGACCTGGCTCTAGTAGTGGGAAAATGTCAGGCATACCCAGGTTGAGGGACAGGCAATGTTCTAGAATGGGTCAAGGTCATGAAAGGTGAAAAATCTGAGTCGCTCTCAGCATTGGAGAGGAGACTTGAATAGCATATGCCGTATCAAATTCTAGTGAGCATGAGACTTGAAAAGATAAAGGGAAAGTGATGGGAAAATAGTAAGATGCCATTTTTATATTTTTTGAGATTCATCTGTAAGTCAACAATATTCAGCTATGCATTGCGGCGTTAATGTTTGTTTATGTCCTGGTTTTCTCACTGATGCTATGATTGTGAACAACATTAGCATCCAAGGAAGGTGGTTGCAGCATATGTGGGAACTCTATACTGTTTCTACAGCTTTTTGATAAATTTAAAACAATTTCAAAGTAAGTTTTAAAATAACACAATAAGCTCAGAAAGGCAGAGTCACTTGTCCAAGGTCACACAGTAGCTAAGTAGATATCAATCCCTGGGTTTCTCTTCAGTCTGTCCTTTCTTACTGCCTGTCTGCTTTTTAAATTATGAAACCAACTTCATAATAAAACTGGAAGTTCTGATTCAGAATTTAATTAGCGTTAATCTCTTTTCTTGTTTTTCTCTAAGTCTCTTGAGCATTTATTTTCCTTTCTTTGTTTCTACTTTTTATCTGTTTTCAGTTTTCTAGACTTCTGCCACCAGACCCCTACTCATCCATTCATTTATGCAAGGTGCACTTTCTGCATGACTGCCGGGCTTAGGCCACACACACATTTTAAAATAAAAAAACTAGCAATATTTCACCATGGAACTTAACAACATTAACCCATACTTTGGTCTTGTCGAAAGCGTAGGGAATTTATTCCTTGGCACATTATAGGACCCTAAAGAGAAGAAAGAGAACGCCAGCCATCGCAGAGTATGAGTCCCCAGGGAGAAGCAGTCGCGTTTATTGGTGCAGTCAGTCATCCTGGCCCATTTGTTCAGCACATCTCAGGAGCAGGCCACTTGGTGGATGTGCTCTAACGAAAGTAAATAAGAGTCCGCAGCTGCCAGAAGCTACCAGGGTCAGACACAAATAACTACCAAAAAAGGCAGCAAGTGCACACTGTGTGAGTGCCGCAGACAGTGTGGGTGGAGGTGCTGAGGTGGGAGATTGCAGCCCCCTCTGCTGAGCTCCAGAGTCTGGGGCTGGGCCTTGAACGACAGACGATACGGGGAAGGGAGAAATTGTGGGACAGGCGGGGGCATCGCGCCAGGAAGACAATCCTCTGAATGCTTTCCGTCCTAAGCAAGACTTCCTGGCATAGTGAGGTAGCTCACACTTGAGCGCCAGGAGAACCTGTGAGCTAGACATTTCCCACATCCCAACAACTGTACACACAGACTTGTCCGTAATGAAGGGAAAGGGAAGAAAATTCCTGATGCAGTGTTGCATAATGTTTGTTCTGAGGAAAGTATGGAGAAAATGCAGCTCAGAGCAGAACCATGAAAGAGCTGGACAGGTTTTACTGTAGGAAGGCCAGGAGATAAATCACTGACAGCATTTCTTCCCATGCCCTTTCCCCTGTTCTGTAAGAGTAAGGTGCCCCTTAGGCAGGCACCTTACCCTGTCTTTCTCCTTGAGAATACCCGGAAACCCATTGGAGGAGAAGGTCCTTAAGCAGGTAGGCATCAGATCTATCCTGCATTCAGCCCTTTGTATTTGGTCTGACAGACAGATCTTTCTGAACCTTTTTCGGCTGAACCTGTCCCTCAGACCTTAAGCTCCCATGAGCCCAAATGCCCCCTCTCCCTTTGGATAAGCTGCCTTGCTTCCTGCCCACACACGAAGCCTCTTTCTCGGAGAGTCTCAAATCACATTCGTCTCACTCTCTTCTTCTTCCTTTACCCAGTTTCTGCTGCTAGCCAACATTCTCTTTGATCTTGCTTTGTTTTCATTCCCCTTACAATAAACTCCCAAGCCATTTTCCTTTTCTAGAAGAGACAGGGGTATTTTCTTTACGTCTTCTTTACCACAGAGATCAAAAGCAGCTGAGAAGAGGCAGGTGGAATTTGAAGTCCCCCGCTTACTTTTCCCTTGCCCTTTTCCTCAGCATGTCCACGGCGTGACACGGGGTAAGGGGGGTGGGGAGCTTTCTAGGTTCATAGTTCCAAGTCTTTACTCCCAAAATCTCATGCTCTACATATGGGCCTCTGCCCTTGGGTGTTGTTGCCCTGTGGGGACTGGTTTGCAGGATCTGTTCCTAAAGTGACTTTTGGACTCCACAGCCTGTCACTGCTCACACCATGGCCATGCTCTCTTCCATGTC